ATTGTCATGATAAGTATTTTCAAAAGCCAACTTGTCACTGACTACACTGGTCAAACAAGTAATTTCATTTACACTTTCTCACCTTATGTTAAGGTTGATATGTAATGAAATTTCAAACCAATCCAAAATGACTTTTAAAAGAAGCCCTTTGATACTTCTCTACAAGTATTCGATTGTAATTCACGGGAAACTACACAAGCAGTTGATTATCTCTCTTGATAATTAACGAAGCAACCTTTGCCCGGGGTTTTACTACATTCATGTCAAATTGAATTTTTGACATCACAACATTACAAATATCTTTGTTTCTTATCTTATTTCGTTGGCACAATGCACACACGAAATCCTTGAGGTTTTGAGTAAAACCAACTCAGACTAATGATTTCGCAAGTCTGGCATATGACTTCACTTTAAATCCCCAAAGTGAATGAGCCTTGCTTCCATGCGAAGGGTTTTACCTGTTCGAATTCTATAACAGATACTTGACAGGCTGTATACGCAAAATCGTTGGTATTTTGTCCGGTTTTCGAGGAGATGTGACAGTTACTTTTTGGAATGTTGTTACCTTTGCAGTCATGATCCGAGTTTCAAGGTGCCACGTCGGATAACATTAAATGTATCCCGCTTCAGTTTCAAATCAATTTTGAGCAACCTATAAAAGGGGGTTAAAGAACACTGTGTACGGTTACGCAAACAAGAAATCTCACAACACTTCCAAGATTAAAACTTGATCCAAACTTCAACTTTCTTTTTCAAAACCCTAACAATGGCAGCCACTACTTCCAACACTGATGAGGTTCTTTCTCAATCCCTGATGAAGATTCAAAGCACCAATTACCAAGTTGATCCGAAAGTTTCTGCTTATCCAGAAGAATTGAAGATGCTTATTGTTGCTCTGAAATGATCATCTTTAGCAACTGCCATGTTCAGTTCATTCCCGGTCCTAATGGTGTGGTTATCTCGTGCCGCTTCAACGGCTTCATACAATCACACGGCAGATGTGATTACTTTCAATTTAACCAACAACAAACGAGTTAAACTGTCCAAGAACTTGTTTGTGGAAATTCTACAGATTCCAAACAACCCTCTGTTTATCAAACCTGTCAACTCGCAGGTCATTCATATGTTTAATGAGATGGGGCATCAACCGGAGTTGACAAAAATAAGTGATTTCAGAAAGTCTGGCTTGCCATACAGGAAGAATAGTCGAATTGGATAGAGGAAGAATGGAAGTATATGCTATGGTAATGGGCATATACTATGATATTAATGTTGATTATGCAACCCAGTTGTGGAAGGAATTTTTTAAAAGCCTGGAAAATACAAATTCGGAGAAGGGAATTTCTTGTGCAAGATACTGGAGCTTAATTCATGAAAACGTGTATGCGAAAGAAGAAATTCCAATGCTGACCAATGTTGAAGTTGCTGAATTTTCTTTCTATCAATTCCCAAAAACTATAGAAGATGATGAAGCAATATTTTCTCATGTGACTCGTATTCCAGATGCGATGCTTCGCAAAGTTTCTCCAACTCACAAGGTTTTGGTGAGATATTTGCGAACTGTTAATACCGCTGATCAGACTGGAGTTTTACTAGATGTTGCTACTCCATCTAAGACAAAGAAGGTTCACAAGAAAAGTGCGAAGGGTTCACCCTCACCAACCGTACCAGATGAAGTAATTCCAACCGAAGAAACTTCAAAGAAATCGAAGAAGGAACTCTTACCTTCCAAGTTTGGGGTACTGAAGCAAATTCGCAAAGCTGAAGTGAGTAGTAAAGGTGTTACTATTCGCAATATTCCTTCGCCAGTATCTCCAGGAAAGAAAAGACAACGAGCTGAAGATGTTGCGAAAAATATGCAACGAACGATGGTCAAAAGAAGGAAGATGGTAATTCGCAATGAATCATCTGAAGAAGAAATGGTTCCAGAAACTCCAACCGTCACAGCTATGGTACCTGTTTCTCTACCTATCATACACACTTCACAAATTTCCACCACTATTCCACAAACCAAACCACTCGAAATAATTCTCACCAAATCAGTTACTGAGGAGGTTCCTATTTCCGATATGGTTGTCAACGTATCTGATACGAGGGCACCTATCCTGAGTGTTGCACCATCAATTCAAACATCTTTACCCATTTCATTACCAGTTACATCTTTATCCACTACTTCATCCATTTTTGATCATGTTCTTCAAAATCCGTTCACCACACTTTTTCCTTCTCAATCACCTGAAAATCCTCAACCTTCGCAACCATTGTCTGATACTGAAGTCGAAGGAGGTGCCTTTGGTGGGATACTTGATGATATTCCTTTTGATTCAGATGAAGAAGATATTTCTGATCATATGCTGATGACAGGAAAACAGTTTAAAATTCTGAATCAGAAGTTAAAGACCATTATTCAATCACAAGCTGATTCTGGTAGAATGTCTTCAATATCTGCCATGGAGGTTGATATTATGATCAAAGGAGCAGAGAAAAGAATCATGGAAAAGATTGCTCAATCCGATAAAAATAATGAGCTCAGAATTACATCACAAGGAAGTAATTTTACTTATGTTGTTCAAGATCTTAGAGCTGTTACAAAAGAACGTCATGTTCTTTTTGTACAAGATGTTAAGAAAGTTCGTGAGGATGTCAACTTCAAAATTCAGGAGTTGAAGTCTGAACTTGCGAAGGATCTTCAGGATGTTCACATGAAACAAGAAGAAGTTCAAAAGCAAATTGTGGACATTTCTTCTCAACTTCAAAAACTCAATGGTATTCCTGTTCTTGCAGATCATAAAGCCGAAACAATGATGAAGTTTGATCAGCTAATACAGTTAGTCACTGATCTTAAAATAGCTGTTTCGCATTCTTCATCCACTCAAATCCATACTCTTGAATTCTTGTCTCTAAAGATTAATACTTTAGAACAAGCCATTCAAAAAGCTCTTGCCCCACTTACAAGTTTTACTTCTTTACTACCGAGGGGTGCTCCGCCTGTTTCCACAGGGGTGCAAGGGGGAGAACAATGTCGGAGTAAAGAAGAGGATGCGAAAACTGTTGGAAAAGTGATATCAACTCAACTTGTTGCTACTCTTCCAATTCCTTTAAAACCGATTTCTGCAACAACAATTACCACAAGAACAATTACCAAAGGTATTGTTATTGGAAGAAACGAAGGAGGTTCAAGCTCAAAACCTCAAACAGATGTTGTAGGAAGAGGAAAAGGAATATTATATGAAAAATCAAAAGAGGAGTTGAAAGTTGAGGCTGAGGCTGAAATGGAGAGGATGAGGCAAGTTCAGAGTATAATGAGACAAAGGGCAAGTGATCCTCCCTCCATGAACAAAGGAGATCCTACAAAACTTTACTCCTATGAAACAATAGAGTCAAAAGTTGTGTGTAGGGAGATGTATGAGTTCGAGAAGAAGCCAAAACGAAGTTATGATATTGCGAACTCAGATCATTGCCAATTGGATTTCCCTATAAATGAAATGTTATTCATTAATGCTCAATACAAGATCAGTGAGAAATTTGATAATCCGAATGATTATACTCAAATGAAAATCAGATTTCATGCTGTCTTGGGGAAGAATCCAGATGAAGTTTGGTCCTTGATGAAGATCAAAAATGTGGTGACAATAAAGAAGGATATTTTGTTTGAAGAGATGTTACAAAATTTTCGATATTTTGTTATCAGAGCTGACAACAAACAATATGACTTCACAGTTGTTGACTTTCCATTGATGAACTGCAATGATTTAATTCAAGTAGCACTGATTCTGAAGCATATGGAAGAAAACAATCTTAAAGGCTCTGATACAGATGTATTCAAAGTAGGCTTCGCACATGTGAAGACTTTCATAGACAACTATTTCGATTGTCTAGCCCTTACAGATGATGAATTAGCAAATGTGCTGGGAAGGGAAGTGAAAGTTCCATGGGAGGAGACTTTGACACAATCTGCTTTGTCAAAGTATGGTGTTGGTGAAATCTGCCTGAAACCTTTTGGTATGGTGTTTTCTGGCAGAGATACAAAAGGAAATCCGAAGAAATTTTTGTTCAAAGTCTCAGAGATTGAAAGATATAATTCTTCGCAATACAATCACTTTATAGTACGTATGAATAATTGCAAGAAGAATAACGAAGGAGACAAGAAAGATTTGAAGAAGGTGATCTCCTAGTATGGAGAAGTGCGAAAGACAATTCACTCTGCAATTCAAAAGCTTATGAGTTGAATTGTATCGACTGTTTACAAAGGGGGAGAATGTTGATGTATATTGTAAAAAGTTGAATAGGGTGTTTTGTGTTGTTTCGCATTTTGTATTATTTTACTAAGTCATTTTTTTGTGCGAAGTGAAAATGTATAGACTTAGTATATTTTTGTTTGTTCCTTATAAATAGGGACTTAGGCTAGAAGTAGAGGGACGGATGCTAGAACTCACTTCTGATTATTTTGTAATCAGTCTTAATCAATATGAGATCTGATTAATATTTACATTTTGTGTTCTTCATCTTAAATCATTCAAATCTATCTTTTCTTTTCAAAATACTCGATAACAATTCTCATCAGAGATGTGGTTTTTTTTCTTACTTGGTTGAATCAGAAATCGCAAGCTCTGGAGATGGAGATATCCTTTCTATCTTTTCGATTTACAGGTGGGTTTAGAAGGTGGATATGGTGCGAATATGGTGGAAGCAGTTCGATAATTTTATTGTTAGTTCATTGAATGCACCTGGTAAATAATCGAATATCGTGGGATGCGATGATTATTGTGGCGAAATGAGGGGGTGATCAATGAAGAGGGTACAAGGGGGTTGTATGATGACAGTGGTGATGTTTATGAGATGTATCAGTGGGATTTAAGGGTAACTTATCCATTATTTTAAGGATTTTCCATATCTTCTTCCAAGCGCACCAACAGGTGGTCTTCCATGATGGAACTCTCGTCGTCTTCATCATCAGGTTTGATTTCTTTACGACCTTCTTCTTACTGGTTTCTTCTCAAATGAACTATAAACGGGTTTCCCTCAGGCCAATTCATGGAAACCTAGCTTTGAAATTTCTCAATTGGGTAATCAAACAACCTGCTTTTCAACAACTCAAGAATCTCACGTATGTTTACTATATAACTGGTCATATACTAGGGAAAGCAAGAATGTATACCTCTGCAAAATCACTTTTTACACAATTATCTAACATGGGTATCGATTCAAACTCCATTTTTGCTGCTTTGATGGACACTTACCCTCTTTGCAACTCAAATCCTACAATACTTTGCTTAGCTGGTATTTTAAAAAGGGAAGATGGGTGTTTGGTATTTGACAGGGGAATTCATGGGTGTTTGTTTCTTGTGTTCTTGACTGGCAACGAATGCATATGTGTGTTGACGATTTAACCGGCGTTTGTTTTTGTCGTTGATGGTAGTTCAAGTGAGGATGAACTTCAAGCACTTAAGAATGAGTTGTTGTTGATTCTATTAGAATTTATTTTATATAGATGTGTTCTGTTAGAATGTTTGAGAATAATTGTCAACAACAAGTACATTCTGTCAGAATTTATAGTTTTTATTCTCTTAGAATGTATTGAATTTTTTAATTTTTGAAACTTGATTATGTTTTCTTTGTGGATTTAGGTTTTGAAGAGGCTAACATTGATGTGGAGAAGGAAGAAAACATAGAGAACGAGAGTGTATTATACCAGAATGTGTTATTCTACAATGTATAAAGTCTTGCTAAAAAATAATATTCTATTAGAATAGATTAGTGTTTTTGTTAGATTGTGTAACAACCCGTCATTTCAGGTCATTGAAGATCGAGTCTTGTAACCTCTTTGAAAAAGGGATTAGAATATCATCGAAAAATGAAGTATTCAAAAGCTCTGTTTGGAGTACGCTATGTAGTAAATATCGTCTTAAGCTTTCCAACCATATAAAGAACACTAAAATCCGAGTTATAACGAAGAAGTTATGACCATTCTAAGTTTTCCGACAAAAACCGGCAATACGAAGTTACGTAAAAACGCAAAGTTTCAATAAAATACTTTTTGACCTTAGGTGTCTAAATGAAAGTCATAGATATCGTTAAACTACAAACGTACATAAAAAGAACGCCCAAAACGGACATCGTATGAAAAAGTTATGAAATTTTAACGAATTTTCTTACCCCGACCTTTTAAAAAAATAAATAATAAAAATAATTTCGGAATTTGCTGACGGAATCTAAACAAAAGTTGTAGATCTTAGTCTCACCTACGCGTGGATATAAAGAACGTCGAAAACGGGGTTCGTATGAAGGAGATATGAATTTTTGAAGTTTGATAAATAATTAATATATATTTTTATTGAAAACTTCGGTATTATCCGAAGTCTGAGTCACGCGAGTACGCCCTGCGTACCCAAGGCCTTGGCCCCGGTTCGTCCATGTCGCCCCCTATGCGAGCTACGCCCCGTCCCATCCGAACTCCGGGGCAGTCGACGACTTGGTCATGCATGACGCACGGGTACGCCCCACGTACGCCCATACGCCCCGCGTACCGAGGCCTCTCAGCCCCTATAAAAGGGATGTGAGGGTTCCGGGAAAACTTGCTTATTTCCTCTCGTTCTCCTTGCGTTTTGCCTTGTTTTCCGTGCCCGTGCAAACCAGAAGCCCTGGTCGCTTAGCTCAAGTTTCGAAGGTCGTTTATACTCCCGAGATTCCCGAGAATCCCGAGAAAATCCGCTTTTTCAAGCCAAAGTTCTGCTCGGTTTTCATCACACCTTCTTCAAACTATCAAGTGAGTTCATACCCACTTCAAACACACTTTAAATACATTTTAAATGCTTTTATACTCATTTAGGGGGGAATACAAGTAAACATACGGTTATTATCGTGTATTTTATAAAGTTTCACTTCACTTGTTTTTATCGAATAAATCACTTGGAATTCATTACTACTATGGAAAACTCTTGTCATACTTTGTGTACATTAGAGTTATACAAAGTATATAGTGATTTCAAAGTACCTTACGTTGCTAAGTCGTTTTATACATTCTAAAAACTTATGATTTTATGCTTTGTCAAACATTGTGAAAAAGGATAAACTTTGCATACCAAACTACTACTTTAGTACAGACTTAGTTGAGAATCCATGAGACGTGTATATCTTCAAATACTACCTTCTTGTTAGAAAGTAATACTACAAGTCCTATCTATAACCAGAGTCTCCCGTTAGGAGAACGTGTCAAATGTGTATAGATCTATACGGGAAGTCACGATCTCGTGCCCTGACTGTTAGCTACAGTCCGTCCTTTGGGGTGACAGTTGTCATAACGCTACGACTCCTGAAGAACGTCGCTACAGGCATATTATGTTTAGTATGGTTATAAAACTCATCGGATACACAATTATTATAGTACTTCTGATTGATGAACGAGTAGCTATTAAAACTATTCTTTATCTAACAAACATAAATCTTCTGATAGGTTTATTATATAAATCTATGTTTAAAATCTTCTAAAGCATGTGGCTTGCTTCCAATTTTTAGTCTTGGACATTAAACAAACTATTACTTTAGGAAAATATGGAAATTTCCTGTATACAAACCAAACAACTATTAGGAAAATAAGGGGTTTTCTTGGTTCAACTATCTACGTTTTTCAACACAAATACTCTCATGCATTTTATACTTTTATAAGAAAATAAGGGATTTTCTTGGAAAACATACACCCATTTTGGAATGGCATTCAATTTTTCTAAACCACTTACGAACTCACCAACTTAATTGTTGACACTTTCTCTTTGAAATAACTTGTATTCTCAGGGAACCACTAAGCAGGTTTGGTAATCAACTTTTGGGATTTATGCGCTGGCGTTAATTACTTCTTTTGAAAGATGTTTATGTATTTATCTTTTGAACATGTAGCGAATACAATTATGTAAACATTTTTAAAACCTTTATATATGTATGGTGGTGTGTACTTTCGTTTCTATGAACTGTTATGGTACTGAATATGACGTCCTCCACCCCCGAATGTTTCCGCCGTTCTGGTTTGGGGGTGTGACAGATTGGTATTAGAGCTTTGTTTATAGGGAATTAAGTATATCAAAACCATTTCTTTTTGGTATACAACTATAAACTCAACTGGGCAAAAACACTCTAAGAAGAGTCATACTTTTGAAATTAAATTTATTTAGTTTTTAAGGTAAGCATGCACTCATTTCATACTAATAACAGTTTCATCTTGAATAATTTTAGAAGTATTATAAATAAGTTGTGCAGTACAGGTACGCCTTGGGACATGTAATCGGAACTGGGAAGAATATAGCCTGATCAACTATATTTGTCCGAGAGACGACTAACGTATGCCAAGGAGTGTATGCAGTGGACAACAATTTTAAAACTTACCAAAAGCACATCATTACATAATACTAAGGGAGTTTTTGTTGTTGTCATCAACCATTAAACTTAAGGGTAAGTTTCATGTGCTCTAGCTTATAGTAAATTCTTAACCCTATTCTCGTACAGACTCAATGGCGGGATTCCATCACCCCAATGACTCCTACTACCCCAACCAAGGTAATGGAGGATGGATCGAAGAAGATCCTGAAGAAGACGAAGAGCCTATAGAGTTGGAGGAAGGAGATGACTCTGGTACAGATTCGGAGCCAGAAGTTATCAATCCACCGATCCCACAACCTCCCGTCCATGTGAGGAACTTCCAAGGACCCACTCCTGTGTGGGGAAGTCACCTCCACCATTAGAGCCAACAACAAAGCTTACGCCCTCCCTACGAAATGTGCCGAGACTTGTATGATGTCAGAGGTGGGGGATCAGCAGACCGAGCACTTCCGGTTATGGTTGGAAAACTAGCCAACCAGTGCTATCAATCCGGAGTTCAAGCCAACCGGATCCGCGAGGTCAATGTGGAAGTGCAAGTGCACACTTCCGACATCCGCCGTTTAGAAAAGTTGCAAGGGTATGGCCTAGACCTCACTAATGCCCTCCAAGAACAAATGAATGCAGCATTCGTAGCAATAGTGGAGATAAGGGAACAACAAGCCGCGTTTCATAGGCGCCTCATGGAGTCAAAGCAGTCCGACACGGAGTCAAGCTCCAAGCGCAAACCACGCCGCAAGTAGTACTTGCCCGACTCTCAATTTTTGTTATAAATTAGGACTTCGGATAAAAGTATTATTTTCTTTAAAATTTTCTGTAATCGGAGACCTTTAGAAAGGTCAAAAACTTTTGTCTAGACTCAGATGTAACACAACTATATGTTTAATATATATAAGGGCGTATCTCTTTCTTGTTTTAAATTATGTGTAGTTCGTTCAATTCATAAGTACATCTATTCAAACTTTATTTTCAAGCTCAAAACCCTGTGTTGGCCAAACCGAATTCTTAAACTATTAAAAGTTAACTCAATATCATCCAACTCGCAACCACCAAAACTTATAATCTCTCATTCATTTCTTTTGACAGCGTGATGCCTCCTCGTAGATCAGCACGTACAAACGCAACCTCACCACCACCTCCACCACTAACTTATGATCCGACCATGGTCCAGGCTGCTATCACAGCAGCAGTAATAGCAACTCTCTCTCAAATAAACTCCAATGTAAATGGAGGAATAGGAAGCAACACGAATCATTCCAATCGTGGCACCAGCCAGGGTCAAGTAAGGGAATGTACCTACAAGGAGTTCTCCAACTCAAAGCCAAAGACTTTTAATGGCATTGGAGGAGTCATTGCGCTAATGCAATGGTTCGAAAAGACCGAAACAGTCTTCGAGATCTGCTCATGCCAAGAAACAAGCAAGGTTAAGTTCGCTGCTTGCACCTTCATAGATCGAGCCCTCACTTGGTGGAAAAGCCATGTGAATTCAGTGATGCTCACTAACGCCAACGCCATGAGTTGGGAGGATCTGAAGGTTCTACTACTAGAAGAATACTGCCCAAGGGGCGAAGTACAAAAGCTTGAGCAGGAGCTCTGGAATCTGAAAATAACTGGGTTTGATCTAGTCGCCTACACAGCTAGGTTCAACGACCTCGCTGCATTGTGCCCTACCATGGTCAACCCAGAATCAAAGAAGGTTGAAAGGTACATTTGGGGGTTGTCACCCCAGATTCAAGGGCATGTCCTAGCTTCCAACCCTATTACCTACAACAGCGCTAAACGCCTGGCTCAGCGACTCATCGACCACGGAGTAAAACAGGGTACCATTGCAGCAACCGCAAATCCATCTAAGGAGGCTCAGGGCCAGAGTACTCCTTGGAACAAGAGGATGGGACAAACCCTCCAGGAGAACCCCAAGAAACAACAAGTAGTAGCGACCCACGCTATGACTGTACCTACCAACTCTGCTCCCACAAGCTCATACAATGGGAAACTTCCTAAGTGCAACCAATGCAACTTCCACTACCACGGTCCTTGCCGTGATCTTCAATGCACCAGGTGCAATAAGAAGGGACATACAACCCGCTATTGCAAAGAGCCAACCCAAATATCCGCCCCCACTACTAATACCGGAGTAAGCCATGCCTGCTTTGAGTGCGGAGACATGGGGCACTACCGCAGGGACTGCCCAAAGGCAAACAACAGGAATACCGGCGGAAGGGGCCGAGTTTTTGCAATGGGACAAAATGAAGCCATTGCGGACCCTACTGTTGTTATGGGTACGTTTCTTCTCGTTAACTCGTATGCATACATTTTGTTTGATAGTGGAGCGGAAAGGAGTTTTGTGAGTCA